CTGAAAGTTTAGAAAAAAAGTATCAAAACTAACAATAGCACACATAAGTCTCCATAACCTATGTGGCACAGAAAAAGCAGTCATTAGAGGGAGTTCAAAAGAAGTAGTGCTTATAATTAAAAAAAAAGAAAGAAAAGTTTCAAATAAACAACCTAATACATCTCAAGGAACTGGAAAAACAACAAAAACAAACAAACAAATACCAAAAGAATAATAAGTATCCAAACATAAATACATAAAACAGAGAATGAAAGAACTACACAGAAAACAAACAAAACCAAAAACTGGTTCTTTGAAAGGATAAACAAAATTGACACACCATAAACTAGACTAATCAAGAAGAACAGAAAAAGGAAACAAATAAACACAATCAGCAATGAAATAGTCAATATTACAACAGATATGTCAGGAGTACAAAAGATTATAAGAGAATACTATGAGTGACTATATGCCAACAAACAAAAAAACCTAGTTAAGACAAAAAAATTTGTGGACACATATAAATTATCTAAATTAAATCAGGAAGAAATAGAAAGTGTGAACAGATCAACAACAAGTAATGAGATTGAATCAGAGATAAATAGCCTCCCAACAACAACCAAGAAAAGACTCCAGGTCCTGAGGGTTTCCCTTCTGAATTCTACAAAATGTTTAAATAACTAACCCCAATTAGGAGGATGGGACATGCCAGAGGGTGGGGGATGGGGAATCAAGGAAGGCAAAACAAAAGGCAAGGTATGCAGGACATAAGAATTGGAAAATTATTTGCTGAGAACATGTATGTTGATGTGCTTGATTGAGCCAATGCACAGTGTATTTTGGATGGAAAATTCATTTGTGTGTTGTGATGGTGTATAGTGAATTAATGTAGAGAATGAATAAATTAAAAAAAAAAAGAACTAACCCCAATTCTCCTCAATCTATTTCTAAAGATCCAAAAGAAGCATTTCTTTCTTTCTCTGAAGAGGTTTTTGCTATAGGGTGCATGCACTCGCCAGAAAGACAGAGAGAGACAGAGAGACAGAAAGCAAGAAATCACCTCCCGGGGGAATGGCCACACCGCAATCCCTCTCCTCCAGTCTCCTCCTGGGATCTTGGGGATGCATCCACATGTGCCGGTGTGAGTTTAAGCCACCAGGTCTGGGATTTGAACTGCGGCCGACTATGTGGGAGATCAATGACATAACCATTATGCCAACTGCTAGTCCCCAAAGGGAAGGATTTCTTCAAAACACATTCTTTGAAACCTAGCTCATCTTTATCCCAAATGCAGACAAGAAAATAATGCAAAAAGAAAACTACAGACCCCTGTCCCTGATTAATGTAGATTTGAAATTCCTCAGCAAGACACTAGCAAATCATATCTAATCATATCTTAAAAAAATTTGGGCCAGCAAGTGGCATGGTGGTTATGGTGTTTAATCCTACATGGTTGACTCCATAGTTCAAGTCCCAGAACCAGGAGCCTGAAAAATATGCCAGGTACATGTTCATGTGGGCCCAAAATCCAAAGAGAATAATGGAGACGGGATTGCAGCATGGCTATCTTCCTGGGGAACCATTTCTCACTTTCACTCTCCCTCTCTGTCTCTTTCTGTCTCTTTCTGGCAAGTACACATGCCTTATAGTAAAAAAAAAAATCTAAAAGAAAAGATTATATACCAGGACCAGGTAGGTATTAACCTAGAGATACAAGGGTGGCTCATCATATGCAAAAAAACTAATTTAATATATCACACTTACACAAGGAAAGAAAAACCATATGATCATATCAATCAATGAAGAAAAAGTATTTGATAAAATACAACATTCCTTTATGATTAAGAGTCCCAGCAAAATCAGTATAGAAGAAACATTTTTTTCTCAACAGAATAAAATCCATATACAATAACCCATAGCTAAAATCATACTGAATGGAGAAAAGATGAAAGCTTTTCCACTAAAAACAGGAATAAGACAGGCTGCCCACTTTCCTCCCTCTTTTTTGATATAGTACTGGAAGTCCGAGCAAATGCAATCAGATAAGAGAGTAAAATGAAAGGCATTCAAATAGAAAAAGAATAAGTAAAATTATCCCTATTTGCAGATGACAGGATAATTTATATAGAAAAATCCAAAGGATTCCACAAAAATACTCATAGACATTATAAATAAATTTAGTAAAGTGGCAGGATACAAAATCAATATATAAAAATCTAGTATTTTTATATAGCAACAATCATTAGATTGAGGTAGCACTGAAGAAAGTAATCCCATTTACAAAAGCCACATACACAAAAAAAGATACCCACCTAACCATAAAGGTGAAAGACCTTTGCAGGAAAAACTATGAAAAATTGAATAAAGAAATTGAAAGTGATGCACAAAAATGGAAAGACATTCCATGTTCTTGGATTGATGAATTAATATAATCAAAATGTCAATTATACACAAATTAATTTACAAATTCAATGTATTTCTGATCAAATTACTAGTGTCATTCTCCTCAGAAATAGAAAAAAAAATCCTAGAATTTGTCTGAAATTATAAAAGGCCTTGTTTCATGAAGGCAATATTGAGCAAAAAGAGTAAGGTGAGAGGCAATTCTTTACTTGACCTCCAAATATATTACAAGTTGTGATAATCAGTGTTAAATAGGCTTCCAACAACAACAACAACAAGTCCAGGTCTTGATGGCTTCCATTCTGAATTCTGCAAAATCTTTAAAGAACTAACTCCAGTTCTCCTCAAACTATTCCTAAATATCCAAAAGGAAGGAAGTCTTCCAAACTCATGCTTTGAAGCCTACATCATCTTGACCCCAAAAGCAGACAAATAAATAATGAAAAAGAAAACTACAGGCCAATATCCAAGTTGTGATAATCAAAATAGCACGGCACTGGCACAAAAACAGGCATGCAGACTAACGAACAGAACAGAGAACCCAGAAATAATCCCCCAAACAGATAGCCAACTGATCTTTGACAAAGGACACAAAAAAATCAAGAGGGAAAAAGAAAATCTATTCAGCAAATGGTGCAGGAAGAATTGGATAGCCAACTACAGAAAAATGAAACTAGACCCCTATTTCTCACCAACAAAAATCAATTCAAAATGGATCAAAGATCTAAATTTATAGCTGCAAACTGTAAAACTACTGGTGGAAAACCCAGAAGAAAATCTTGAGGACATTGGAGTGGCCAAGCATTTCTTAAATAAGGTCTCTAAAGCACAGGCAATAATCCTGAAAATAGACAAATGGGACTACATTAGGCTAAAAATCTTTTGCACAGTAAAAGAAACAATAATTAGAGTGAAGAGACAATCCTCATAACATAAGAGAAAATTTGCAAACTATGCTTCAGATAAGGGACTGATATCTAGAATATATAGGAAACTCAAGCAGCTTATCCACAAAAATCCCCAGACAATCCAATTTAAAAATGGGCAAACAAGCGGAACAGACAACTCTTTAAGGAAGACATATGAATGGCCAAAAGTATATGAAAATATGCTCAACATTACTTATCATAAGGCAAATGCCAATCAAAACCACAACTAGGTACCACTCAACCCCAGTTAGAATGGCTATAATTAAAAAAATAATAATAATAAAGAATGACAAGTGCTGGCAAGGTTGTGGTGAAAGGGGAACCCTCTTACACTATTGGTGATAATGTGAATTAGTACAACCACGCTGGAAAACAATATGGAGTTTTCTCAAAAATCTACAAATAGAACTACTGTAAGACTCAGTAATCCCACTCCTGAATATTTACCCAAAGGCTAGGAAAACAGTCAGAAGGATACTTGTACATCCATATTTATTGCAGCATTATTCACAGTTGCTAAGACATGGAATCAACCTAAAAGCCCAAGAATGGATGATTTGATTGAAAAACGTGGCAAATACATACTATGAAATACTACTCAGCAATAAAAAAAAAAAATGAGACCCTGTCATTTGGTACTACAAAGTGGATGAATACAGACGGTTTAATGCTGAGCTAAGTAGGTCAGCTTATGAAAGACAGACATTGTATGTCCCTGTCCAATATATGTCAAATGTCTGCACTTTATGGCAGAAACTGATGGATTAGTAGATATAATAGCAGAGACAGTAAGTATAGATAACTGAGACTAGAAAGAATGGAGTGAAAAGTGGGAGGTGGGGAAGGGGGGCTCAAGAAACATTTTAACAGACATAAGAATGGAAAGTTATTTGTTGAGGATGATGTGTATGGCAGTATCTTTGACTTAATTGAGATACAATGCATTTATGCTTTGAAAAACCATATTGTAAGCTGTAGAGATACACAATGAAATGTAATTTTTAAAAAATTAAGACAATCATTGAGAATGACTTTTCAGAAGATCTGATTAAGAAATTTCTGGATCATGAAACTCAGGTGACCCATATACTTTTACTGTTAATAAACTAGGTTATCATTCAATTCTATAAAAAGTTAAACTAAATTCCTGGTTCCAAAGTAAATTTTCATTTAAAAATCATGTTAATTAAATATATTCTCCATAACTTCATCATCAGAGTCAGCATAAATCCACACATACACTTGGCTTTGGCAACTAAAGCCTACTTTTATATCATCATTTGAGGGACATCTCAAATGTCCCTCCTCATTTGGAGGACATCTAAATATCATTTTTCCTTTATTCAAAAAAATAGACTAGAAAGAAATAAACCAGACAAAATAAGTCATAAGTTAATTATTTGTTTCCCATATATTTGGCAAAGATTTTGAAGCCATATTTTATAAATTAAAAATGAAGAATGGGATGATATTTTTTCCAAAAGACATACAGTTGATTCTTTGAATGAGCTTTTCTTTACAACTCAACTTTATTCAAAAGGTTTTCAATGATGAAATTAACTCATCTGAAGCCCAACACATGCTCTAGAAAGGTACTGGTTATCTGTGCCTATATAGAAATATAACACATGCCACAGGTATTCTGGAATTTTATTTAACTTCTTTTTAAGTAGATATAAAGATTATCACCTAGGTTGTACCAGACATCCATTTCTCCACTCAGGGTCCTCACTTCCACAATTGTCTGTCCCAGGAAATCATCGGATTCCTTTTTGAAATGTTGTTTGACTCTGGACTTAATGTCGTCATCTTCATCCCATACTCTGACTTTGATTCGATCTGTAGAGTTATGGCACTCACTGAAAATAAATATAAGTAAGTTAAGAACCATTGCTTTAAATGGCATTTAATGTTAGCAACTTACATTTAAATTTAGCTAGTTCAGAAAGGCCTAGCATATTACATTATAAATAAGATTTGCTACTAACCTGTTCCACCTATTGAATGTTACAGATACCCAAAGCAGGCATATTGAAAAATTAATTAGTTAAATAATGTTGATAAGGGGAAGTTCTATCCCATTCTATCCCATTTTATCTTATTTCCTTTAACTAAACTAGATAAAATAATCTATTTTATATATATATATGCATTTTAGTATAAAAGAGCTCATTATAAATTATTTCATAAAAATGACTCATTGAATCTGATAAGATTGAGAGCTACTAAATACTTGATAACTTCCATAGGTCTCAACTTCTATTTCTATAAAATGAGGGTAATAATACCTACTTATAAGGTGTTTATGAGAAATAAGTAAATAGCTTATAGGAGTGAGCACTTGCCAGACACATTGTATTTGATCCATATAAGTCATTATAATGTCATTATTCCATAAGTTCTTAAAGTTAGAACATATTTTTCTTAAAAAGTTTCTATTCTTTCTTGTTTAAGGTTTTTGCCCCATACTAAGACAGAGAGAGGGAAAAAGAGAAATCATCCCCCAGGAAGGATGGCCATGACACAATTCCTTCTTTGGTCTCATCTCAGGATTTACTGGTGGTGGGGGAGGTATGCATGCTGGTGTACATGGTGTGATTTTCAAGCCATCAGGTCTGGGACTTAAACCATTGTCAGCCATGTCAGAGTCGAGCGCCTTAACTACTACACCACCTGCTTACTCATAGAATTCTTCTGGAATGAAATAAATTAATCTTTTTTGTGACTTAATGTGCAATCGAATGAAATTCCAATTGGATCAAGTGGAAAAAGAATAGAAAATCTTGTAAATTAATTTTGCTTGGTTATATACAAAGTGATTTAAAATACATTTATGAATTATTATTATTTCTTATATATACTGTGGCATTCTTGAACTACTTCAAATCTGTTTCATGACTCTTGTGAAAATATAAAGGTTTTCATTTTGGATGGGAAATGGTAGGATCTTGTAGTAAACAGAATTTGACGGCGAGAAATATCTCTACATAGAAGAGAAAATCATCTATCAAGTAAAATAGAGAGATGAAGCATAATGCCATTAAATCTTATTCTATCAAACTGCTTTCAATCTGACTAATTAGCTAACACGGACTCCTGATTTTGTTTACCAGTTTGTGAATTTGACTCTTTTAATCAACAGAGAACACTTTTATTTTTATTTTTTCTTAATTGCCAAAGAGTGCATGCACTCACCAGAGAAAGACATGGCTAGTGGGAGAGGGAAAAAGCTTCCCTTGATAGGATGTGTTCACATCATAATCCCTTCTCCTGCATGTCTCCATCCATTTGAGATTTGGGTCATGCATGCATATGTGTCATGGACGTTTTCTCTAATCACCGAACCATCATTCAAACTGTGTTTGGCCATGTGGGATCCCAGTCCCTTAATCACTAGGCTAGGAGGCTGGCCCACCACACAAATTCTTAATAAATAAAATAAGTATTAGGGCCAAGTGGCTCATTTTGCAACTTTCCTTTAATGAAAATAATTTTTCTTCTTAAGGAAGAAAAAATTTATATTTCAAATGTATATTTTCAAATTTAAAAAATATTTTTTATCTGGGTCTTAGTATCCTGATCTTCTTGCCTCAGCCTCCCAGCTGGGACTTTTAGGCACTGACCACCATATTTGGCCTTTACATTGGATGAGGAATCAAATCTAAGCTTCACATAAGGACCCAGTCTGAGAAGCACAGCATTTCAGCATGTGCTAAGTGAATGGGTCGTGATTCATATTGCTAATTTTATATGTTTTCATTGTTAAAGTGAAGACTGGTTTTGGTTCCATGGGAATAAAGTATTTTTTTCCATCCCAAATTAAAAGAAAATGTTTGCCCTTTCTGGACTCAGGCTCATTGTGTGCATGTCTATATTTATTTTTGTTTTTATTTTTGCTTTTAATTCACAGGTGCTATAGCTTTGTTGGGCCAATCACTACTTGGCCAATTTTTTGGAAACCTTCCACAGGACTAATGTTATTGTATGTATTTACTACAACTTTGCAAATGGTCTCACTGCAGTATTTTTAAATGTAGAATTTTCTAGATATGGCCCCAAAACATTTCTCCTATGATTAAAGCAAAGGGAAAAAAAAAAAAAAAAGATTTTCCTTACCCAAGTTATCCGAGTTGAACTTATTTTGAGATGAATTCTCTACCTCGAGAGATACTCATGGATTTGAGGGATGCCCATGGATTTGAGAAAGTCAATAAAGCATGACTGACTAAATTCAATTGGAAAAATAAGCTCCTGCTCAAGTACTTACCCTCTGAGGTGGCATCTCACAAAGTAGTATATTAGTAATTATCCAAACATAAAAACCACATTTAAGGGAGCTTAATGGCTATGTCGCTGAACTCCCATGTAGTTGACTGTGATTCAAGTCATGGACCCAGTGGCTAAAACTCACACTAGGTGCATATGTATGCATGCCTAAGATCCCGAGAGGAGAATGGAGGAGAAGGGATTGCGGTGTGGCCATCCCCCCTGGGGGGTGATTTCTTGCTTTCTATCTCTCTATCTCTCTCTGTGCTCTATAGCAAAAAATCTCTCAAAAAAAAATGCATTTAAGATCAAGTTAGAGCTAATAAACTAACTAAAATATATCTCACTCTGTAACTATATCAGAAAACATCACTAATAAGTGATGTCACCTTTAAAAAATTTCTAGCTACAAATTTTATCAAACAAGAATCTGTAATATTTTAAATAGTATTATATCAGGTTTTGTTAAAAGACACATTGAAGACAAATATTAAATATATATGAATAAACATATATTTAAGTATATGTGTACTGAAATAAACTGAAAGGGTCTATGTTAAAATATAGGTGAAAAATTAGTGAAAGCTTTCATTCTTTATATTTTTTCTGTTACAATAAAAAATTTGTATTTTTAAGCATCCTGTAGTAATCATAAATTATGACATTTCTACTCAGGAGAGAAGGCAGGGCTTGATTCAGAAAGTCATCAGACAGAAGCTTCCTGCAAGCATCATCCTGAGGCAGAGCAGTTGCAGCAGCCTTTCAAACAGTAATTAAATTCTCTAGTTACAGCTTAATTCCTTAAACTCTGACCTGCCAAATGGAAATACTCTAAGACACTCAACTTTCACATTTCCTCTTAGTGATTTATTATGAATTATGCAACCTACTTCATTGCAATATTGGTATCTCCCTTATTCTTCAATCAAGAACTCTAACCCTGCTCTCTGTGAGTTGTATTATAGCAGAGACGAACTCTAGTTTTAAAACTCAGCGACTGACAATGCAGACACTTTTCCCTCCTGCATTTGACATGGCCAATTTAAATGTGGAAGTTAGTACCAAAGAAATAGTCCCTTTATTTCTATTTATGTTCTCTCAAGGTTTTCTTTGTCATATTTGGACATTGCAAATACATTCTGTTCATCAATGACATAGAAGATAAAAAAAAAAAGGCAAGAAAGTAATTATATTATTAGCACAACTTTCCAAAAAGAAAGGAGAAGAGGTGTTCATGCATTGACATTAACGGGTTGACTAAAGGAAGTCCTTGTGCTTTAATAGATCTGAGAATTGGGCCAGCAGGTGGCATGGTGGTTAAGGCACTGGACTCTACACCTGAGTGACTGCAGTTTGAGTCTCAGACCTGGTAGCTTGCTCTCTCACTTTCTTTCTTGTTCTCTCTCTCTCTCTCTCTCTATCTATATTTTTGGTGAGCATATGTGCCCTATAGCAAAATTTTAAAAATAATAATAAACAAAATAAAATAAAACAGAGAACCAAAATGCAACATAGGGCCTCATAAAATATAGCTATTTTACCTGCATCACTTCCTAGCCCCCACAGTTAGATCATATATACCTCAAAGTCTTGTATTCTATTTTTATATCTAATACTGTCTCCACAGATATTAATGCTTTCAAATAAATTTATGCTAACAGCAGTTTTGATCATTATTAATATAGTCTTAAATATTAAAACTGTAACAAGAAAATTAACATAAATAATAATGGGAATATAAAAGTATAATTTGATAATATAAAATAAAATAATTATTAATATTAAAATAATAAAAGTAAAAATTAGCTCAATGAACTAACTTAGTGTCTGTCCAATTTGCAGGGAAAAGAAAGACCAGTTAGGACAAGAAATCAGAGAATGAAGGATAAAATTGTGCTCTCAAAAAAGTAGATGAGAGTTGTTCTCTGTCATTCAATGGTTAAATGCCGTGCACAGAAAGTCAGAGACACAGAGCCAACCCTGGTTGGGATCCTGGCCCCTCGGAACATGAGTACCCAAGATCCTGATGGGATGGAAAAACTAAAAAGAATTGTGGCATGACCATGCCCCATCAGGGATGCTCTCTCTCTCTTT